AACAAAATGTTATTTGAGAAATAGGAAAACCCTAAATATAGATTGATGTATTATACTCTTCTCATATGCAAACTTGAAAAGCCTTCTAATATGGCACTCTACTTCAAGGTGGCAGTAAAAACACTACACCAAGGATGACAATGAAATGAGCAAAATTTTATTTGGGCATTATTACTGTTTAGCATTCCATTCAACAACATTTTATGTGGCAATGTTTCGCTCTCCAAGAGCTTTATCAAGCCGTTACAAACAATACATGGACACAGAGGGTATATATAGGCTGGTAGTTGTAATATAAATTGTAGAGGTAGTAGTAATACAGTATGGTAGAACAATCAACTTGCACATGAGGAAAAGGTTATAATAGCTATTACTTGGGTAGCATAAAAATAGGGTAAACAAATGTTTCTATTGGTGGTTGGATTTGAGAAGGTCTGTTTCAGTGTTCCTCCTCTGTTGTGTTCTTGTGTAGCAGAGACTATGTGATGGCAGGGTTTATCGTTTTGAGAAGGATTTTTGCTAATACTTCAGAGGTGATGAAGCTGCCTTTAATTTGCTTGATTGTATTAGAAACAGCAATTAATGATGGTTCAAGGCATTTACGTGTACAGAAGGTAGGTGCTCTGATCACTAGTTGGGTCTCGTTGAATTTCATGAGGTAATTGGTAGAATTCCAGTGTTGTACGAAGGTGTTGTTCAAGTTATTGTTCTTACATGCATTAATGTGTTAATTGAGGCGTGTTTCGAGGTTTTTTACTGTTTCACCTACATATATCCTGTCACAGCCTCCATAGGGTATAGTGTAAACCCCTGCATTGATTGGTTCATGGTGCTTCGATTTTGTCCTGGTTAGATCCTTTATTGAAGTGCTGGATGCGTTGGTGACTAGTGTTAGCGTGTGCTAGTACTTTAGAAATGTTCAGTGCAACCTGGCTGTCGGGAAGAATTATAACTTTGTCAGGAGTGGTGTTGGTGCATGAAGAATAGATGATCTGAAGAGCTCTTTTCTTGCAGTCTTTGATGAAAAAGGAGGAAAATTCTAGATCAGGGAAGGTTTGGTGTATGTAAGTACATTCCTCCTCAAAAAACTCAGGACTACAAATTTGGCATGCTCTTAGGGAATGGGGCCATCTATCAGTGCCGTCTTAGCCAACTTGTACATGGAGCACCTGGAAACTGAACACTTCACCAACATCATCTCCACCAGAGTCACTTGGTTACGTTATGTGGACGACGTCTTCATAATAACTCCCAAATGTTTTGATGTACAGAATCTTCAGGCTCAACGCAGTTGAACTGGCTATCCAGTTTACTCTAGAAGAAGAGTAATGACAAGCTACCTTTTCTAGACGTCCTCATTCACAAAGTTGATAACAATCTAAGATTTCAAGTTTACCGTAAACCTACCAACAAAAATGATCTCGCCCACTTCTATTCCAATCAAGATACTAAGACTAAGAAAGGCATCATCATCGTATTTTTCCTAAGAGCATACTGAATTTGTAGTCCTGAGTTTCTTGACAAGGAATGTACTTACATACACCAAATCTTTACTGATCTACAATTTCCTTTCTTTTTCATCAAAGACTGCAAGAAAAGAGCTCTTCAACACCACTCCTAACAAAGTTATAATTCTTTCCAACAACTAGATTACACTGAACATTTCTAAAGTACAGTACTAGCACAAGCTAACACTAGAGTCACCATCGCATCCAGCACTTAAGTAAAGGATCTAACCAGGACAAAATCGAAGCACTATGAACCAGTCAATGCAGGGGTTTACACTATACCCTGTGGAGGCTGTGACAAAATATATGTAGGTGAAACAGCAAGAAACCTCGAAACACACCTCAATGAACACAATGCATGTAGGAACGATAACTTGAACAACACCTGTGTACAACACTGGAATTACACCAATCACCTAATGAAATTCAACAATGCTCGAATAGTGATCAGAGAGCCTAATTTCTGCAGATGTAAATGCCTTGAATCATCATTAATTGCTGTTTCTAACACAATCAAGCAAAATAAAGGCAGTTTCATCATTTCTGAAGTATTAGCAAAAATCCTCCTCTAAACAGTAAACCCTGCCATCACATAGTCTCGGCTATACAAGAACAAAACAGAGGAGGAACACTGAAACAGACCTTCTCAAATCCAACCACCAATAGAAATATTTGTCTACCCTATTTTTATGGTACCCAAGTAATAGCTTTTATAACCTTTTACTAGTGTGCAAGTTGACTTTTCTACCATATTGTATTACTACTACCTTTACAATTTATATTACTACTACCAGCCTATATATACCCTCTGTGTCCATATATTGTTTGTATCGGCTTGACAAAGCTCCTGGAGAGCGAAATGTTGCCACAATAAAATGTCACATTAGTTGCATTTGTGTCCTTTTACTTAACAGTGTTCTCTCTACCTAGCGTACAGCGTCTTATCTCAGACATGTGCGCATGTGCACAACAGCCAAACACCGAGTCGCTGGAACTGTGAAGCACACAGTTCCATACAAGGATTTATATAATTTTTTCGTGTACTAGGGGATGGTTACTGACATTAAGCTTCAGGATTATATAATGTACAAGTACATGTAAAGAAAGAATTAAAGAAGAAAGACTCATTATATTGAATGTTATCGATAATATCGAGTGAAAAAAGGGAGTGCTGCAGTTCCGCAGTGCCTATACACGAGCTGCCACTGTCTGTAACCATAAAACATTATTTGAACTGTTGATCCTGAAGGTTAATAACTCATCATCATAAATGATCATAATTACACTGTATTGACATATTTCCAGGTTTTTAACAGTGATGCAACTACTATAGCTATATTTCTGTAATGGTTGAACATGTTGGAAATATTGTAGAGATTAACTCACACTTGGTGAGTAATATTAAGTACGTACCGTATTGTTTGGCACATTATGTGCACTTCATTACACGCAAGCATGCACACACACACATACACACACACAGAGTGTGTTCCACAAAAGAGGTTAATGCAAAAGCTAGAGGATCAGGCATGCATAACAGGAAAGGCACTGCAATGGATCAGAGAATATTTGACAGGGAGTCAACAATGAGTCATGGTACGTGACGAGGTGTCAGAGTGGGCGCCTGTGATGAGCAGGGTTCCACAGGGGTCAGTCCTAAGACCTGTGCTGTTTTTGGTATGTGTACATGACATAATGGAAGGAATAGACTCAGAAGTGTCCTTGTTTGCAGATGATGTGAAGTTAATGAGGAGAATTCAATCACTCGAGGATCAGGCAGGACTACAGAGAGACCTAGACAGGCTACAAACCTGGTCCAGCAGCTGGCTCCTTGAATTTAACCCCGCCAAATGCAAAGTCATGAAGATAAGGGAAGGGCAAAGAAGCCTGCGGACAGAGTATAGCCTAGGTGGCCAAAGATCTTTTCAAGGGAAAAGATCTTGGGATGAGTATAATACCAAGCACATCTCCTGAGGAGCACATCAATCAGATAACTGCTGCAGCATACGGGTGTCTGGCAAACCTAAGAATAGATTTCCAATACTTCAGTAAGGAATCGTTCAAGATTCTGTACACCATATACGTCAGGCCCATATTGGAGTATGCAACACCAGTTTGGAATCCATATCTGGTCAAGCACATAAGAAATTAGAGAAAGTGCAAAGGTTTGCAATGAGACTAGTCCCAGAGCTAAGGGGATTGACCTATGAGCAAAGGCTAAGGGAAATCAGCCTGATGACACTGGAGGACAGGAGGGTCAGGGAAAACATGATAATGACATATAAAATACTGCGAGGAATTGACACAGTGGACAAAGACAGGATGTTCCAGAGATGGGACACACAAACAAGGGGTCACAATTGGAAGTTGAAGACTCCTATGAGTCAAAGGGATGTTAGGAAGTATTTCTTCAGCCATAGAGTTGTCAGGAAGTGGAATATCCTAGAAAGTGACGTAGTGGAGGCAGGAACCATACATATTTTTAAGACGAGGTTTGATAAAACTCATGGAACAGGGAAAGAGAGGACCCAGTAGCAATCAGTGAAGAGGCAGGGCCAGGAGCTGTGCCTTGTTTGCTCAAGATGAAGAACAGAGGTAGGCTTTGGGTTACTTGTAAGTGGTGGTTTCAGTACTTATAAACTAAACTCCAGACATCTTTCCCTACAAAATTGTTTCCCCAGATTTACTTTAGTGATAAGGAACCAGATTAAAATTTACATATTACCAGTATGTATTAAAGAAACCAGCTTCAGCAGTTGTGAATAATTGTAAAGTAGCTGTCTGTAAATAACAGGTAGCCATGTTTGTTTTGTGGTTGGTGATGGTGAAGTAGATGGCAAGGTGTGCAAAATTGAATTTGCTCAGAACATGCAAAATTTAAAAGTTGGCTGTGCAGTAGTAAGTCTGAGGGGTTCAGGGAAACCGGCAGGCCGGCCTTGAGTCCTGGAGATGGGAAGTACAGTGCCTGCACTCTGAAGGAGGGGTGTTAATGTTGCAGTTTAAAAACTGTAGTGTAAAGCACCCTTCTGGCAAGACAGTGATGGAGTGAATGATGGTGAAAGTTTTTCTTTTTCGGGCCACCCTGCCTTGGTGGGAATTGGCCAGTGTGATAAAAAAAAAAAAAAAAAAAAAAAATTCATTATTTTAGTACTGTGCAAAAGTATATTTAGAATTTCAGAGATATTTCTGAATTCTTTTTTTGTATTTAGGAGCATTTCTATTTTTTTTTCTTAACATGCTGAACGTCTCCCACCAAGGCAGTGTGAACCAAAAAAGAAACGCTCGCCATCATTCACACTATCACTTGTCTTACCGGAGGCGCACAGATACGAAATATTGTAATAAGATACAGCACAGTATTACTGAATAGAAGAGACTACTGTACTTTGCTAATTTTTCTGTACATTGAGAGAGAAAAGCACATGTCATAAAATTTACAAGTAATAAAAGTTTGATGATCATGTCTTTAATTAAATTTTTTTCTCTTTCTAGCTGACACTCCTCGGTCATCATCAGGTCAGTATGTTTTCTTTGTTTCATGGACTTTCCTACAAGAATCTTTGTCAAATATTCCCCAAACATTTAACCTCTTGTGTAGTATTTATTTAGTCCCATATTTTCTAATTTAGAGGCAAATTTTGTAACTGCATATACTTTTGTGTGCATGTGTGTGTATCAGCCATTTCCTACCAAGGTAAGGTGACCCAAAATATGAAAACCTATTCACCAAGATTTATTCAGTAGATATCTTGCCATAAGTACTTGTTACCTTTGTGCCACAGCCAAGCCAGCATGTAGAATACTTTCAAAAATATGTAGTTTTTGTGGTAGGCAGATATGGGGAGTTTCTACATAAGGTCACTTTTCTAAGGCAGGAAAATTATTAAAATTAAAAGTGTACTGTATCAAAGAATTAGTGAGAACTAAATAATGTCTCAGAATTTCAATTTGGAGTAACAAGATCATAAATTTGGTAAGACAGTGTAGGTGTTCATATGCAGTATTTGTTTCATAAAAGTTAAATAATTTCCAGTTTTATGCTCACTTTTTTTTCTGTAGGAAATAATGGTGATGGAGACAGTGATGAGGAAGGGCTCCTTGGTAGTCTTCCAACTCCAAGCATTCAGGAGCAAGATTGGCGGTCACGAGCAGCTGACTACTACAAGTCCTATTGTGGCCACTGCAATACTACCACAGACATAAAAGAAGCTGTATTCCTTGGAAAGTAATTATCACTCCAGCTTATACTATACATTTTCTAATTTAGGCTGCATAGTAGGCTATGGCAGCATTACCTGGTGAGGGGGCTCCTGACATGAGGAGTTGGGCTCATTTTTTCTTTCCTTGGATCAGTCTTGTTTGCCCTACATTCTCCTGGCACTGTGTGACCCCTATGGTTTAGCACTTTTCCATGATTATAATGTAATAATTCAGTCTTTCTTGACATTTTCTTAATTCTCCCAGGATATCAAAGGTGGTGCCTTGATGCTGGTGAATGGCTTTTGATCCAAGGAATTAGAGCTATTCTTTCCTTTTTTTTTTTTTTTTCCCCCCAACAAGTCGGCCGTCTCCCACCGAGGCAGGGTGACCCAAAAAAGAAAGAAAATCCCCAAAAAGAAAATACTTTCATCATCATTCAACACTTTCACCACACTCGCACATTATCACTGTTTTTGCAGAGGTGCTCAGAATACAACAGTTTAGAAGCATACACATATAAAGATACACAACATATCCCTCCAAACTGCCAATATCCCAAACCCCTCCTTTAAAGTGCAGGCATTGTACTTCCCATTGCTGTATAGTCCTTGTGGCTTAGCGCTTCTTTTTGATTATAATAATAATATTGTACTTCCCATTTCCAGGACTCAAGTCCGACTATATGAAAATAACCGGTTTCCCTGAATCCCTTCACTAAACATTACCCTGCTCACACTCCAACAGATCGTCAGGTCCCAAGTACCATTTGTCTCCATTCACTCCTATCTAACACGCTCATGCACGCTTGCTGGAAGTCCAAGCCCCTTGCCCACAAAACCTCCTTTACCCCCTCTCTCCAACCCTTTCGAGGACGACCCCTACCCCGCCTTCCTTCCCCTATAGATTTATATGCTTTCCATGTCATTCTACTTTGATCCATTCTCTCTAAATGACCAAACCACCTCAACAACCCCTCTTCTGCCCTCTGACTAATACTTTTATTAACTCCACACCTTTTCCTAATTTCCACACTCCAAATTTTCTGCATAATATTTACACCACACATTACCCTTAAACAGGACATCTCCACTGCCTCCAACCGTCTCCTCGCTGCTGCATTTACCACCCAAGCTTCACACCCATATAAGAGTGTTGGTACTACTATACTTTCATACATTCCCTTCTTTGCCTCCATAGATAACATTTTTTGACTCCACATATACCTCAATGCACCACTCACCTTTTTTCCCTCATCAATTCTATGATTAACCCCATCCTTCATAAATCCATCCGCCGACACGTCAACTCCCAAGTATCTGAAAACATTCACTTCTTCCATACTCCTCCTCCCCAATTTGATATCCAATTTTTCTTTATCTAAATCATTTGACACCCTCATCACCTTACTCTTTTCTAAGTTCACTTTCAACTTTCTACCTTTACACACATTCCCAAACTCATCCACTAACCTTTGCAATTTTTCTTTAGAATCTCCCATAAGCACAGTATCATCAGCAAAAAGTAACTGTGTCAATTCCCATTTTGAATTTGATTCCCCATAATTTAATCCCACCCCTCTCCCGAACACCCTAGCATTTACTTCCTTTACAACCCCATCTATAAATATATTAAACAACCATGGTGACATCACACATCCCTGTCTAAGACCTACTTTTACCGGAAAGTAGTCTCCCTGTCTTCTACACACCCTAACCTGAGCCTCACTATCCTCATAAAAACTCTTTACAGCATTTAATAACTTACCATCTATTCCATATACTTGCAACATCTGCCACATTGCTCCTCTATCCACTCTATCATATGCCTTTTCTAAATCCATAAATGCAATAAAAACTTCCCTACCTTTATCTAAATACTGTTCACATATATGCTTCAATGTAAACACTTGATCTACACATCCCCTACCCACTCTGAAACCTCCTTGCTCATCCGCAATCCTACATTCTGTCAATTAACTCTTATTCCCCAGGTGTTGTGTTAGTATTATAATCAAAACTGACAAACTACCAGGATCATACACCACTGTCTCAGGTGTTGTAGACCCCCTACAGATTTAAATCTTCCCCATGAATACAGTATTGATAATAAAACTGGAAGTATTGACATAATACTATATCATTTCATTTAAAATTGTCATACACATTTATGTAGTTTTTTTTTTTTTATATTCAGTGCCCTTGGTCAAAGCCCTTCTTTTGTTTAATATTTTATTGCATCACACAGCATGTGTTTTATGTATCATTATATTCCTAAGTGCCTTTCAATACATTTTGTCCTGTGTTGCAGAGATGGTCAATTTATTGCTGCTGGTTCTGATGATGGGAATTTGTTTGTTTGGGATCGCCACACAACTAACCTTATTCGTGTTATACCTGGAGACGAGTCCATTGTTAACTGTGTCCAGTGCCATCCTCACAGCTGTCTCCTGGCGACCAGTGGAATAGAATCTGTTGTCAAACTATGGGCCCCTCTCCCACAGGTAATTTCTGGCATGTAAATATAAAGTAAACAGAACTAATAAATGCTAGGGTGTTCAGGAGAGGGATGGGATTAAATACAAAATGGGAATTGACACAGTTGCTTTTTGCTGATGATACTGTGCTTATGGGAGATTCTAAAGAAAAATTGCAAAGGTTAGTGGATGAGTTTGGGAGTGTGTGTAAAGGTAGAAAGTTGAAAGTGAACATAGAAAAGAGTAAGGTGATGAGGGTGTTAAATTGGGGAGGAGGAGTATGGAAGAAGTGAATGTTTTCAGATACTTGGGAGTTGAAGTGTTGGCGGATGGATTTGTGAAGGATGAGGTTAATCATAGAATTGATGAGGGAAAAAAGGTGAGTGGTGCGTTGAGGTATATGTGGAGACAAAAAACGTAATCTATGGAGGCAGAGAAGGGAATGTATGAAAGTATAGTAGTGCCAACACTCTTATATGGGTGTGAATCTTGGGTTGTGAATGCAGCAGTGAGGAGGCAGTTGGAGGCAGTGGAGATGTCCTGTCTAAGGGCAATGTGTGGTGTAAATACACCTACCATCCGACTTACGACCGTGTTTTTTATGCCAAATTTCTGGGAAATAAACAACTATTTGTGTTGTACACAGTGGTTATCCTTAACCTTACAGTATAAAATACAGTACTAACAACATAAAAAGTAAAGTAAAACATGGAATACCAAAATAAAACAATAAAATAATTACAAAAATGTTTTGTTGATATTCAGTAGTAAAGTTCGACTTACGACCGGTTTCTCGGAACCGAACTCGGTCATAAGTCGGATGGTAGGTGTATTATGCAGAAAATTTGGAGTGTGGAAATTAGAAGGTGTGGAGTTAATAAAAGTATTAGAGGGCTGAAGAGGGGTTGTTGAGGTGGTTTGGTCATTTAGAGAGAATGGATCAAAGTAGAATGACATGGAGAGCATATAAATATGTAGGGGAAGGAAGGCGGGGTAGGGGTCATCATCGAAAAGGTTGGAAGGAAGGGGTAAGGGAGGTTTTGTGGGCAAGGGGCTTGGACTTCCAGCAGGCGTGCATGAACTTGTTCGATAGGAGTGAATGGAGATGAATGGTATTTGGGACCTGACGATCTGTTGGAGTGTGAGCAGGGATTTAATATTTAGTGAAGGGATTCAGGGAAACCAGTTATTTTTAATAGCCAGACTTGAGTCCTGGAAATGGGAAGTATAATGCCTGCACTCTAAAGGAGGGGTTCGGGATATTAGCAGTTTGGAGGGATATGTTGTGTTCTGAGCACCTCTGCAAAAACAGTGATTATGTGTGAGTGAGGTGAAAGTGTTGAATAATGATTAAAGTATTTTCTTTTTGGGTCACCCTACCTCGGTGGGAGACGGCCGACTTGTTAAAAAAAAAAAAAAAAACTATGGATAATCTGTAGGTTGAGAACAATCTAGGCCCCTCCAGCAGAGTCAAGGAACAACACTTTGTATAGTACAGAGGTATTGTTTCATGAAATGTATCCCATACAAATGACTAGTTTTTACTATATACATCCTTCAAGGAGGGTGGCTTGATGCTAGGAAGCTATACAGTGGACCCCCGCTTAACGATCACCTCCAAATGCGACCAATTATGTAAGTGTATTTATGTAAGTGCGTTTGTACGTGTATGTTTGGGGGTCTGAAATGGACTAATCTACTTCACAATATTCCTTATGGGAAAAAATTCGGTCAGTACTGGCACCTGAACATACTACTGGAATGAAAAAAGTTCGTTAACCGGGGGTCCACTGTATAGTCTAGTCTTAAAAATTTGAGCTATTTTTTTTCCCCCTTCTCGTATCAAACTCCTACCTTTCATTTCCCAGATGCAATAGTGCCCTTATGAGTTTGGTGCTTCCTAGTGTACTCATCTTAAAAAGTATAGTTATTTAGCAGGACTAAATACAATATACAGTCGAGCCTAGGTTGTTAAGCATTACTTGTCGATTAAGTTTGTTTTTGAATGAGATGTCCGAGAAAAAAACATCTGGGTTTTTGTACATTCTCATGGTTGTCGACAGGCAAGTTTTTACGTGTATGGTGGGTAGCCACTAACTTGTGTGCTGTAAACATCTTTTGAGCTTTTGTTGTGCATCTTGTGGTTGTGGTGCAAATTTTTTTTTATTGCAAGATAGCCATCATGGGTCCAAAGAGAGAGATGAAAACAAAAAGAAAATTTGTAAAAAAGAAGTTATTAGAGAGGAGGAGGAGCAGGGAAGGGATGATGTGCCTATTGTACTTGTCAAGGAAATGTGTGCTAAATGGCAGGAGTTTGTTGAAAAATACCATCCACACAAAGCAGTGGCCATCTGTGTCTCTAATATTTACAATGACAGTGTAATGTCTCGGTTTAGACGAGTGTTAAAATGGAGCCTGAAACCAGCCTCGCTGGATAGGTTTTTTTAGTGAGAAAGAACCAGGTGTTAGTGGTGAAGAGACAAAGAAAACACCAAAAGGACAGTTGCCTGATATATTAATAGGTGACTCTCCTTCCATGCAGTAACATCCCCTCCCTCCTCTCCTGGCAGGTAAAGGTTTATGTACTGTACAGTATTTCAGTTAAATTTTCATGTAATTCATTTCTACACTTTCCCGTTGCTGTATAATTTTATACTTTGTTTTATGTAGTAGTTACCAATGTACTAATATATTATTATATTGTCATTTGGGGTCTGGAATGGATTAATTCTATTTGCATTATTCTTTTACGGGAAAAATTGCTTTGGTTGTCAATTTTGGATGTTGAATGGAATCTGGAACGTATTCGAAAGACAGCAATTGAGTGAATGTGTTTTCTTCCTTTTAAACTTGTTGGCAGTCTCAGCAGGAGACTGCCAACAAGTTTAAAAAGTGTGTAATTGGGCAAGTTCATCTTTTGAAAAGTATTTTACAAGGTGAGATAAAAGCATATTTTGTTTTACAGATGGATAATGACAGTGAACCATTCTTGGATATAGAGGAGATTGCTCAAGCTAACCAGCAACGCATGCGTGCAGATCCCTTAGAAATGATGCTCATGCATATGGGTAATATGGCACACATGCTTGGTGGTGGCAATGGGGAGGGAAGAGGGAGTGGAAGACCAGGTCAGGCTAATGACAACCCTCCAAGAGATCCATCCCCTGGGCTCAATGATCGCAACATGGCTGATGTGCAGTGCCGTACCAGCTGAAACTGAAGTTCCCAACTCTTGTTGGCAATCTTCTCCAGAAACAAGACTGTGATGGACTCCACTGACTTAGGTCTGAATTCTGAAGAACCATTTACTAATTTACTTAGGTATTGTATGCCACAGCATTAAGTCATTATGAATAGTATGGCCAATTAAATACCAAAGAATAATTCCTGAAATGGGTATTTCAGAGTATGGACCTTTGTTGCAGGAGTCTCCTTAGGTATAGATTGTTTATTAAATGACTTAGGACAGTAAACAAACTTAACCTATCCTTTAGTTTAACTAGAGCCTTCCAGACAAGGGGTCTTAAAGATATTCAAATCATCCCTAAATTTGCATTGCAGTGTAATTCACAAAAAAAAGTACATACCTAAAAATTATTTTAACTCATCAGAGATGGAGTGTTCACAGTCTCCATTGATAATTTCATTTGCTTGTCTTTATATATCAAGTGTTATCTATTGTCCAACAAAACGGCTAATGTTCACCCCTTTCCATACTCAACACCCATTATACCTACTTGTTCTACTTCACAGTTTCCTTGCTTTTCCTGTGTCTAATTTGCATCTTGTGTTTTATAAAGATTTGTCAGTAATTTAATCTTCTCATGATTTTTTGTTTTAAATCACCAGCTGTTTCCCATCAAGGCAGAGTGATCCAACAAAATCACGTTACCCATCACTTGCTCCCTAGGTGCCTTTCCATAAATGGATGATAGCATTTAATGTAAAGTGCCTTTGTAATGGAAATGAAAGTGACAACAGGCCATATTAGAAAGGTATCTGGGAGTAGTATTAGACACTGGATTATCAGAACAGTGATAACCTTGTATGCTCCACTCTACTGGCAAAATTGAAAACAGTTTTCAGATACATAATGTCAATATAAAACAAATAGCATCCACTTAAGAAATATAAATGAAGACAAACCATTAACAAGGCCTTCATTGTTGACCACTTAATCAACCAGGCTATTGCTGTCATTAACCTGAAAAGGCATCACAACGTGGGTGATCTAGCACTCTCTTTTCAGGTGTTCAGTTATGTCTAGATAACCTCTAACTTTGTTCTTGCAGCAGGTTAGAGTAGGGCCATGATGTAGATGCTATGATCTCTGCTTTCACTGGGTTTATTGTACAGTTCCATCTCTCTCACCTCAGTAAATTATAGTAGCATACAGATTTAGGATTTTTTTTATTTTCTGTTTATATATTATCAAGTATCTCTCCTCCATTCCAAAGTCATTTCACATTCTTTGCAGAGTGCCCAGTAGCTTCAGTGTTCTGTTGATTATGTGGACAGTAAATGACACCTGTACATTTTCTAGCTCTTACTTCCTGCCTTGAAAGGAAGTGTGCACACACTATCTTAGATATGAGAGCACAAGTGATTTGAAGATGTAGTTGCCACATTATACCAATTTCAAAATGCCTAATATTTCCTTGATAATATTTCACTACTTTGCAGTCTGTGACCTCCCACAGTTCATCTTTATATTGCATACGGTGACTATGGTCAGACGTTTTTTATAAAATTCACGAACTCAGATTAAAGTGGCTATTACAATTGACATTATTATTTCACAAATGTCACTCTGTGATCATTAACTTCTGTTTTGTAACAGCATTATAGGGTCAGTACTTTTAGGAATTATAAAAATTTTTATTTTTAATACTATTTGAACTGAAATACTGGATCATCAGTTTCTATTGCTTTATGAAATTAGTGAACAGTTGTAGTAATCATTTACAGAACCTATAACATGGTAATTATTATTATAATAAAAAAGAATCGCTAAGCCACAATGGCTATACAGCGCTATAACATGGTAAACAATCAACAGAAAACAAAATTTTAGTAGACGAATGCTACAAATGTTCAAAAACTATGAATGCTGTGATCAGCTCATTTTAATTTTCTCATCTTCAAGTTTTCTTGTCTCCTCTGAGCATTTGCCTCATGTCAATAGGATCCGTTTGTGCTTGTTCTCTGCTTTACTGAGTATACTAGATTTTTCTAGCAACGAGAAAATTAAAACGAAATGATTACAGCATTCATAGTACAGTGGACCCCCCGGTTATCGTAATTAATCCATTACAGAGAGTGTGACTAAAACTGAATTTGAGGATATCTGAATTTATTTTCCCCATAAGAAATAATTTAAATCCAATTAATCCGTTCCAGACACCCAAAAGTGTTAAAAAAATTTTTTTTTTTTTACATGAAATATACATTTACCCACACAGAAAACAATGAGACATGAAGAATAAACAATAACAACATGACACTTACTTTTATTGAAGACTTGATGTATGGGAGGAGGGGAGAGGATGGAGGAGTTACTAGTGTTTGGAAGGGGAATCCCCTTCCATTAAAACTTCAGATACCAAGTTCTTTTCCGGGGTTACTTCCCTTTGTTTTTTAATGCCACTAGGACCAGCTTGAGAGTCGCTGGACTCCTGTTGCTCAAAAAATTGTTCCAGGTTATTATAATCAAAAAGAAGCGCCAAACCACAAGGACTATACAGCATAAATTGTTCCAGAGAGCTCTGTTTCTGACTTTTCTTTAAAATTTCCCTAAAATGGGACACGACATAATCATTGTACATGTTGCCAACACGGCCTGCAACAGTTGTGTCAGGATGATGTTCATCCGTAAATGTTTGCACCTTCTTCCATCTCTCTTCCTCCTCTGAAGCAGTTTCCTGAGGTGTGGTCTGTTGCTGTTGCAGATGAAGGCCTTGCAGCTCTTAAATGGTTAGCTCTTCCCTGTGGTCCTCCACTAACTTCCACATCCTCGCCACTCATCTCCAACCCCATGAAATTCCCCAATGCCACAATACTTTCCACAACTGCCATAGGCTCTTCAGGGTCAGCCCCAAACCCTTCAAAATCCCTCTCTTGGACACATTCTGGCCACAGTTTTCTCCAGAGTTCAGATTCTTGGAAGTCACTCCCTCCCAAGCCTTACCTATAAGGGTTATGCAATGGAGGATACTGAAGTGATCTTTCCAGAACTCTCTTAGGGTCAGTTCAGTGTCCGAGGTTGTCAAAGCACCTTTGAAACATTGCTTTGGTGTAGTTTTTTTTGAAGTTTGAAATGACCTGCTGGTCCATGGGCTGGATGAGAGGAGTGGTATTAGGGGGCAAGAACTTCACTGTGATGAAACAAAATTCCTCCACAATTTGGTCATCCAAGTCTGGAGGATGAGCAGGAGCATTGTCCAGTACCAGGAGGCACTCGAGCTCCAATTTATTTTCCAGGAGGTATTTCTTCACACTCGGGCCAAACACTTCATTGAACCAATCAAGGAAAACTTCCCTCGTGACCCATGCCTTACTGTTTACCTTCCACATCACACAATTTACTCTTGATGACACTGTTTTTCTTGAACACACTGGATTTTTAGAGTTATACACCTTACTGGTGTATCACTCTGAAATCCCCACTAGCATTACTGTAGAACATGAGAGTTAGCCTGTTTTTCATAGGCTTGTGTCCTGGGAGTGCCTTTTCCTCCTGCGTAATGTAGGTCCTCTTTGGCATTTTCTTCCAAAAGAGACCTGTTTCATCACAAGTGAACACTTGTTGGGGTTTGAATTGTTCAACCTCTATGTACCCCTTGAATTCCTGAACATATTTTTCAGCCGCATATTTGTCAGAACTTGCAGCCTCGCCATGCCTTACCACAATGAGTATGCCACTACGCTTCTTAAATCTCTCAAACCAACCTTTGCTGGCCTTAAATTCACTAACATCAGCACTAGTTCCAGACATTTTCTTTACGAGATCATCATGCAACCTTTTCACAAATTATCGACTGCATAACACAATCTCCTGCTGTTTTTGGTTGATCCACACTAACAAAGTCTCCACATATTCAAGTATTTGCGATCTCTTGTTTTGTGAGCATATTTGCACCTTTCGCAACAACAGCTTCCTTGATTTCCTTTTTCTTGGCCACGATGGAAGCGATGGTTGTATGGGGTTTCTTATACAACCTGGTAAGCTCTGCCACACGTACTCCACTTTCGTATTTTGCATTGATGTCTTTCTTGAATTCTATAGTGTTTTTTGCCTTCTTTACCAAAGAGCTGGAACTAGAAGCTTTCTTTGGGCCCATGGTGGCTTATTTAGCAGTTGCAAGCTACTGGATAAGTACAGGTCAGCCATAGAAGTAGTCAGGTCTAAGGGAGGAATCCCAATAAATAACAAAAAAAGGCACAATACCGTGACGGGAACGATACACAAATAACCCGCACATAGAAGAGAGGAGCTTACGATGACGTTTCAGTCCGACTTGGACTATTTACAAAGTCACACTGTGACTTTGTAAATGGTCCAAGTCAGACCAAAACATCGTCGTAAGCTCCTCTCTTCTATGAGGAATCCCAATCTTGCCTAGAAAGGGAGTGGGCAATGAATGGATGTCTAGGGCAATTGGTATAAATTGCTGGCTAGACAGGTACTGCAAGGAACTTGCAATCCCATTCACTGATAATTGGGACAAATTCTATGGCAAACGTGATATGTATGCAAGGGATGGGGTTCATCTCTCTAGGGCTGGAGTGGTTGCATTAGTCAATTCGATTGAGAGGGTAATTGATGATTTGTCTAGGACTTTAAACTGATAGATTATAGAGGTATGGGTGTTTGTGTGAAACAACCAGACTGCAGTATTAGGGCTGAAAACAGCAGATATTACCAGGATACCTCAGGGATATGTTTAAAAGACAATATTCAAAATAAAGTTGCTAGTAAAGGCAAAGCAATTGATCAACAAACAAAGAGAGATAGTAGAGGGCAACGAGTGACTAGCTCCCTTAAGGTTTACTATACAAATAGTAGGAATCTAAGAAATAAGATAGATGAGTTAAGATTACTTGCAAGTGCAGGTAATATAGATATTATTGCTATAACAGAGACATGGTTCAACCTGAAAGATAAAGGCCTTCTGAATGCAACATACAGGGTTATAAACTATTCTACACTGACAGGGTCAACAGGAAGGGTGGTGGAGTGGCGATGTATGTCAGAAAATTTAAATTGTCTTAGACATGATATACAATTAGAAATATCGGACACAGAATCTGTTTGGCTAGTTTCTCAAGGGTCGTGACAAATTAATTTTGGGTGTGATTTATAGGCCCCCAAACCTTCATAGGGAGTGCAGTAAGCTGTTATGGGATGAAATTCATAAGGCATCTAGATATGAAAATATTGTATTAATGGGAGATTTTAACTTTAGACAAATTGACTGGAACAATGTGGCAAGAAATATCGAGTCTAGTGACTTTCTTGATACGGTTCAGGATTGCTTTTTAAAACAGTTTATGACAGAAACAACTAGAGGAAACAATCTACTTGACTTGGTTCTTGCCAACAAAGAATCACTAATTAATAATCTTGAGGTTAATGATGAGCTTGGGGAAAGCAATCACAAATCACTTAGTTTCAATATATCATGGAATTACCCAGATAACTGCAATCAAATCTCTGTCCCAGACTTTCGCTTGGCCGATTTCATGGGACTGAAAAATTACCTGAGTAGGGTAAATTGGGATGTCCTGACTATGGGTCAGGTAGGTGGTCTTGGTTGCCAATATGACATTTTTCAGAGCATAATTTTAGCTGCCCAGACAACTTTTGTTCCGAGTAGGTAAATTAGATCTTACAAAAATGATCCAAAATGGATGAATGAACAATAGATTAAAACATCTCATTAGTCAAAAGAGAGTCATTTATAGGCATATCAAAAGAGGGGAGGGGCAGTTAAGAAATCAATATATTCAGTTAGAGAGAAATAAAAAAAAAAGGAATAAAATAAAAAAGGGATTATGAGGCTAAGGTAGCAAGGGATTCGAAGACTAACCCAAAATGGTTCTTTCAGGTATACAGAAGATTAGGGACAAGATAGGCCCACTTAAGAGTAACTCAGGTCAGATCACTGACAATGATATGTGTGAAATTTTCAGTACTTACTTCCTCTCAGTTTTTACCCAGGAAAATACTAGCGAAATTCCAGAAATAATAGATTACGTAGAACAGGATGATAAACTGTGCACGATTGCGGTAACTAGTGATATGGTTCTCAGACAAATAGAGAAATTAAAACCTAACAAATCCCCAGGCCCTGATGAACTGTTTGCAAAGGTGTTAAAGTAATGTAAAGAGGAACTTAGCATACCTTTGGCTAATCTTTTCAACTTCAACATATCACTACAAACTAGCATAGTGTCTGATAAATGGAAAATGGCAAATGTAATACCTATTTACAAGGCAGGTAACAGGTCCTTAGCTTTGAACTATAGACCAATAAGTCTTACCTCCATAGTGGGAAAACTCATGGAATCAATAATTGCCGAAGCAATCCGTAGCCATCTTGAAAGGCATAAATTGAATAATGAATCTCAGCACGGTTTTACAAAGGGGAGTTCCTGTCTTACGAATTTACTAACTTTCTTCACTAAGGTATTTGAGGAGGTAGATCATAGTATTGAATATGATATTGTGTATATGGACTTCAGTAAGGCTTTTGATAGAGTTCCACATTAGAGGTTGAGGAAACTTAAGGCGCACGGAATAGGAGAAATTTTTTTCCTGGGTAGAGGCATGGTTGACAAATAGGCAGCAGAGAGTTTGCATAAATGGGGAGAAATCAGAATGGGGGCACGTCACAAGCGGTGTTCAGGGGTCATTGTTGGGCCCCTTGTTCGGTCTACATAAATGACGTAGCTAAGGGAATAAATAGCGACATAAGCAAATTTGCTGATGACGCCAAAATAGAGCGTCCAGTTCATTCTAATGAGGACATTAGAGCACCCTAAGATGATTTGAATAGACTGATGCAGTTTAATATGGACAAATGCAAAGTTCTAAATGTTGGACAGGAAAATAACCATGCCATATATAAACTAAATAATGTAGATCTTAATATTACTGATTGCGAAAAGACTTAGGAGTTCTGGTTAGCAGTAATCTAAAACCAAGACAACAGTGCATTAGTGTTCGCAATAAAGCTAACAGAATCCTTGACTTCATAGCAAGAAGTAATCATAATAAAAGTCCTCAGGTTGTTCTTCAACTCTATATATCTTTGGTTAGGACTCATTTAGATTATGCTGCACAGTTTTGGTCACCGTATTACAGAATGGATATAAATGCACTGGAAAATGTACAAAGGAGGATAAAGTTGATCCCATATATCAGAAATCTTCCCTATGAGGATAGACCAAGGGCCCTGAATCTGCACTCTCTAGAAAGGCATAGAATTAGGGGGTATATGATTGAGGTGTATAAATGGAAAACAGGAATTAATAAAGGGGATGTAAATAGCGTGCTAAAAATATCTAACATAGACAGGACTCGCAGCAATGGCTTTAAATTGGAAAAATTCAGATTCAAGAAGGATATAGGAAACCACTGGTTTGGTAATAGAGTTGTGGATGAGTGGAACAAACTCCTGAGTACCGTCATAGAAACTAAAACATTGTGTAGTTTTAAAAATAGGTTAGATAAATACATAAGTGGGTGTGAGTTGGACCTGACTAGCTTGTGCTACTAGGTCAGATGCAGTGATGTGTCTGACCTCACTAGGTCAAGGCATTGGCTTAAGCTGGTGGGAGAATTGGACCTGCCTTGCATAGGCCAGTAGGCCTGTTGCAGTGTTCCTTCTTTCTTATGTTCTTATGAATGCATGGGGTAATGGTCACTCCCTGATAAACAATAGCAGACTGACTGTGAATGGTGTGGGATGGCGTGTGGGGCCACTTGTACACGTTTGGGACGAACAACTATTACCGAGGTAAATGACGATCACAGAGCCAATATTTTGACGAAAAAACATTACGATTACTGAATATTACGAAATCCGATGACTACGATATCCTGGGGTCCACTGTATTTAAACATTTGTAGCATTCATCTACTAAAATTTTCTTTTCTGTTGATTGTTTACCATGCTATAGGTTCTGTAAATAGTTATTACAACTGTTCACTAATCTCATAAAGCAACAGCAATTGATGACGCAGTATTTCAGTTCAAATAGTTTTGAAAACAAATTATTTTTTTATAATTCCTAAAAGTACTGACATTATAATGCTGTTACAAAACAGAAGTTAATGATCACAGAGTGACATTTGTGAAATAATAATGTTAAATATAATAGCCACTTTAATTTGAGCTCATGAATTTTATAAATGAATTTTATAAAAATGCATGAACACTGACCACCATAACCTGGGATTAGGTCAGGGGTTTCAAATAGAGTTAGAGCTAAAGAAGGAGTAGCAATAATGTTGAAGGATAAGCTATGGCAGGAAAAGAGGGACTACAAATGTATAAATTCAAGGATTATGTGGAGTAAAATAAAGATTGGATGTGAAAAGTGGGTTATAGTAATGCACCTGGAGAAGAGAGAAGTGTAGAGGAGAGAGAGAGATTCTGGGAAATGTTGAGTGAATGCATGGGGAGTTTTGAATCAAGTGTGAGAGTAATGGTGGTTGGGGATTTCAATGCTAAAGTGGGTAAAAATGTTATGGAGGGAGTAGTAGGTAATTTTGGGGTGCCAGGGGTAAATGTAAATAGGGAGCCTTTAATTGAGCTATGTGTAAAAAGAAATTTGGTAATAAGTAATACATATTTTATGAAAAAGAGGATAAATAAATATACAAGGTATGATGTAGCACGTAATGAAAGTAGTTTGTTAGATTATGTATTGGTGGATAAAAGGTTGATGGGTGGGCTCCAGGATGTACATGTTTATAGAGGGGCAACTGATATATCGGATCATTATTTAGTTGTAGCTACAGTTAGAGTAAGAGGTAGATGGGAAAAGAGGAAGGTGGCAACAACAAGTAAGAGGGAGGTGAAAGTGTATAAACTAAGGGAGGAGGAAGTTCGGGCGAGATATAAGCGACTATTGGCAGAAAGGTGGGCTAGTGCAAAGATGAGTAGTGGGGGGGTTGAAGAGGGTTGGAATAGTTTTAAAAATGCAGTATTAGAATGTGGGGCAGAAGTTTGTGGTTATAGGAGGGTGGGGGCAGGAGGAAAGAGGAGTGATTGGTGGAATGATGAAGTAAAGGGTGTGATAAAAGAGAAAAAGGTAGCTTACGAGAGGTTTTTACAAAGCAGAAGTGTTATAAGAAGAGCAGAGTATATGGAGAGTAAAAGAAAGGTGAAGAGAGTGGTGAGAGAGTGCAAAAGGAGAGCAGATGAAAGAGTGGTAGAGGCACTGTCAAGAAATTTTAATGAAAATAAGAAAAAATTTTGGAGTGAGTTAAACAAGTTAAGAAAGCCTAGGGAAAGTATGGATTTGTCAGTTAAAAACAGAGTAGGGGAGTTAGTAGATGGGGAGAGGGAGGTATTAGGTAGATGGCGAGAATATTTTGAGGAACTTTTAAATGTTAAGGAAGAAAGGGAGGCGGTAATTTCATGCACTGGCCAGGGAGTATACCATCTTTTAGGAGTGAAGAAGAGCAGAATGTAAGTGTGGTGGAGGTACGTGAGGCATTACGTAGAATGAAAGGGGGTAAAGCAGCTGGAACTGATGGGATCATGACAGAAATGTTAAAAGCAGGGGGGGATATAGTGTTGGAGTGGTTGGTACTTTTGTTTAATAAATGTATGAAAGAGGGGAAGGTACCTAGGGATTGGCGGAGAGCATGTATAGTCCCTTTATATAAAGGGAAAGGGGACAAAAGAGATTGTAAAAATTATAGAGGAATAAGTTTACTGAGTACACCAGAAAAAGTATACGGTAGGGTTATAATTGAAAGAATTAGAGGTAAGACAGAATGTAGAATTGCGGACGAGCAAGGAGGCTTCAGAGTGGGTAGGGGATGTGTAGATCAAGTGTTTACATTGAAGCATATATGTGAACAGTATTTAGATAAAGGTAGGGAAGTTTTTATTGCATTTATGGATTTAGAAAAGGCATATGATAGAGTGGATAGAGGAGCAATGTGGCAGATGTTGCAAGTATATGGAATAGGTGGTAAGTTACTAAATGCTGTAAAGAGCTTTTATGAGGATAGTGAGGCTCAGGTTAGGGTGTGTAGAAGACAGGGAGACTACTTTCCGGTAAAAGTAGGTCTTAGACAGGGATGTGTGATGTCACCATGGTTGTTTAATATATTTATAGATGGGGTTGTAAAAGAAGTAAATGCTAGGGTGTTCGGGAGAGGGGTGGGATTAAATTATGGGGAATCAAATTCAAAATGGGAATTGACACAGTTACTTTTTGCTGATGATACTGTGCTTATGGGAGATTCTAAAGAAAAATTGCAAAGGTTAGTGGATGAGTTTGAGAATGTGTGTAAAGGTAGAAAGTTGAAAGTGAACATAGAAAAGAGTAAGGTGATGAGGGTATCAAATGATTTAGATAAAGAAAAATTGGATATCAAATTGGGGAGGAGGAGTATGGAAGAAGTGAATGTTTTCAGATACTTGGGAGTTGACGTGTCGGCGGATGGATTTATGAAGGATGAGGTTAATCATAGAATTGATGAGGGAAAAAAGGTGAGTGGTGCGTTGAGGTATATGTGGAGTCAAAAAAACGTTATCTATGGAGGCAAAGAAGGGAATGTATGAAAGTATAGTAGTACCAACACTCTTATATGGATGTGAAGCTTGGGTGGTAAATGCAGCAGCGAGGAGACGGTTGGAGGCAGTGGAGATGTCCTGTCTAAGGGCAATGTGTGGTGTAAATATTATGCAGAAAATTCGGAGTGTGGAAATTAGGAGAAGGTGTGGAGTTAATAAAAGCATTAGTCAGAGGGCAGAAGAGGAGTTGTTGAGGTGGTTTGGTCATTTAGAGAGAATGGATCAAAGTAGAATGACATGGAAAGCATATAAATCTATAGGGGAAGGAAAGAGGGGTAGGGGTCATCCTCGAAAGGGTTGGAAAGAGGGGGTAAAGGAGGTTTTGTGGGTGAGGGGCTTGGACTTCCAGCAAGCGTGCATGAGCGTGTTAGATAGGAGTGAATGGAGACGAATGATACTTGGGACCTGACGATCTGTTGGAGTGTGAGCAGGGTAATATTTAGTGAAGGGATTCAGGGAAACTGGTTATTTTCATATAGTCGGACTTGAGTCCTGGAAATGGGAAGTACAATGCCTGCACTTTAAAGGAGGGGTTTGGGATATTGGCAGTTTGGAGGGATATGTTGTGTATCTCTATACGTATATGCTTCTAAACTGTTGTATTCTGAGCACCTCTGCAAAAGCAGTGATAATGTGTGAGTGTGGTGAAAGTGTTGAATGATGATGAAAGTATTTTCTTTTTGGGGATTTTCTTTCTTTTTTTGGGTCACCCTGCCTCGGTGGGAGACGACCGACTTGTTGAAAAAAAAAAAAAAAAAAACACATAAAAATGAACTGTGGGAGGAATGGGTGGCTGTGATGGGAGGTCAGAGACTGCAAAGTAGTTAAATATTGTCAAAGAAATATCAAGAACTTGCACTCTCATATCCATATAAGCTGATCACATGCTATAATCAACTCATTTTAATTTTTTTGTCTCCGAGCATTTGCCTCATGTCAATAGGATCTGTTTGTGCTTGTTCTCTGCTTTACTGAGTTTACTAGATTTTTCTAGCAACTGGACACTTCATCTTCTGGTTCTATGCCTTTCTGCATTGAACTACCAAAAGAATGCACTAGTCAACCAAAGCCTCTGGAATAGGCAAAGACAATGGATTTTGAAAAATCTTATGTTGTCAAATTACCAATTATATATAAAGTTGTCTATTTCACACAGTATAATTAGTACTAATCAGTTTTTCCTGACAAATGTCAACATTTGCAAATTACCTGACCTTGAAAAATGAACCCTTCTCCATGACTTCCCCGATGCATGGCAACTTAGAATAGTATCATGAGTGACTTGCTTCAATGCATTGTCTCTATTTTCCCAAAATGAATGGTCATCTAACATTATTATTTCTAGTTTTTTTACATGTTCCCTTCATTATTGAGTCTTCATATGCAGTTGGAATTTAATATATTTCTTTCTGCCCACTGAAGACTTTGCTGCTATTTTTTGTAATATTCTTTTCCTTCTATTGTGGCATTTTTTTCTGGCTGATACAAAGCTGACATTAGTGTTTTTATCTACATCTTCTATAAAGATGAGAGAGTAAAGGTACCAGGACTGATTTTTTATTCACTTCCACAATGTTGAAAAAAAAAATCTATATAAATTATCAAACCTTTCCTATTATACCCACTGATGTTCTTTTACAGATTATCACTTCAATCACATATGTCAAATGCCTTTACTTACATGTTCCAAATGAGTTTGTCCTCCCTTCCTTTACCCCATCTACCAGCCATGTGTCTACCTGGTAATGGTTTTGGGGATCATTGCCCCAGCAGCCAGGCCATGTGGTTAATAGCCCAATCAAAAAGGCTGTTTGTGCTAACAGTCCAAAATAAGCACAACCACTCTCTCCCTTTTTCCTTTGTTTCCTTCCTTCCCATATATTTATCTCCTTTTCCCCAACCTTTTCCTCCTATAGCTCACTGGCAAGAGCATTTGACTACATCAAAGTTCCTGGTTTGAGTCCTAAACACAAGACATATGGGTGTCCAAACACTCCAACTGTCCCTACCCACCAACCAGTAAAAGTAGATGTGTATGTGTATTTGGCAACTGTCATTAATCAGATCCAGAAATAGTTGCAAAAATCTGTTTTGCTAGAAATCATATCCTATGTAAGGCTAGTACTACTGAAAGGGTTAAAGTGTTGCATAAAAAGTATCTGCACTATGCAATGTAAGCTGATAAAGAAAACCTCTATCTTTTTATCTATTTCTCCTTCCCTCACACTACTTTTCCATTCCTTCATACATATATACAGGAAGGCCCCACTTATACGGCGGGTTAGGTTCCAGGCTACCGCCGTAAAGCGGAAACCGCCGTAAAGTGGAACACCCTTTTTTTCCACTTACAAATGCATACAAACACTAGATAACAAGTTTACACTAACATATATTATGTTAGCAATAGAACCAGGCATCAAAAAACAATAAAAAAGTACAATACACACATAGTGCACTCATTACTTACCTTAAAATATTTATAGTCTTAATCTAGGGTGAGACAAGTAGTATTTATTGTAAGAAATCAAGTGTGGTATGTATTGTAATAGCCAGGCTACCTCACCAGGCCACCCCACCCACACATACTATTCTATGATATTTAAGCATCCCAGAGCGATAAAATGTATATACAGTTCACTCATTACTTACCTTAAAATATTTGTAGTCTTAATGTAGGGTCAGGAGTAAGTAAATGAGATAAAACGAATAAATGAGAGAGAGAAAGAATGAGTACATGAGAGGTAACAGGCGCAGAGTTATGTAAACAAACCAGGCTCCCACATCTTATATTTATGTTTATTTATTCTATTGTGGGGTGTATTTATCATCTTTTTATGTTATGTATCGTGTTTATTATATAATTTTGAAAAAAATATCATGGCTGGATTAATGAATATGTGTATATTACCGTAATATACGACATTTAATGAGACTCGGTGACTATTGTTATTATGGCGTCACTTGTGGAAGTCGTCTGCTCACATCTCACATTTATGTTTATTTATTCTACTGTGGGGTGTATTTATCTTATTTATATGTTATGCATCGTGTTTATTATATAATTTTGAAAAAAATATCATGGATGGATTAATGAAAATGTGTATATTAACGTAATATACGACATTTAAATGACTCGATGTATGTAAGTTTATTTAGGTACAGGTATACATAAGTATAATTATCAGAGTATATATAAAATATGAAATAACTTTTAAAAACATTTGAAATTTTGGAGTTTCCAGACAAAATGGAGAGACTTAGTGCTTACTGAGCTCATGGAGAATGTAAACAAACAGGGTGGGGCACGGTGACCGTATTAGAAAGTCAGGTGGGGGGAGCCGTATAGTGAGTTTTGGTCATAATTTGAAATGTCCATATTAGCGGAACGCCGTAAAGTGAAACGCCGTAAAGCGGGGCCTTCCTGTACTCTGATTCTTCACATCTTCTATATGCCAGTTTTTTTTTGGGTGATCTGATTTTAAAATAGTTATATTGTTGTTTTACTACCAACTGAAAGAGAGCACATTTCTCTATCACCTTACCTTATCCTTTTCTATATCGTGATGTTTGTTTGTTTTGTGTGATATTCTAAAAGAAAGATGCAGATTTTGTCACTGCATTGGTTTTGTTAATACTGATTTGCAGAATAAGCTGAAGATACACTGCTAGTTTAACAACATAAATTGGGAATCCTTTACTTCTGAAGATCAGAAAGTTTGCTTTGATACATGCCAAATGATGTGGTCTAATACATTGGCAACAGCTACTTGACTTGGTTAAAATTCCATTACTAGAGCTCTAGAGCAGAGGCAGACTGCAAAGGGCATCTTCAGCCTAGTGGTTTATGCTTGTATTTCACTCGTTTAGCAGTGTACATGCAATGTAAAATTATGGCAGTATTCATAAATCTTGTGTATATGGTACTACATGGTAATGCACATAATTACCAGTGTGATAAAGGAATGCAAAACAGATATACAGTACTGTACTAAATGCAGAGTATTGATACGAATCTCAAAATTTTTCACAGAATTTCAGTGCCTTGACTAATGTATGATTTACATGCTGTAAATGTATACTATGAAAGGATACAGGCAACAAGCATTGGTGAATACCAATTTCTATTTGATTTGTAATGTACTGTCTTAGATTTAGATTGTCAAGGTCACTTATATCAGATGAATCACAAATTCTGAACACCTGCTGCCCCACGTGATCCAAATTATAGATATTCAACTGGAATACAGTAACATGAGTGTTCAAAAAATTTTGTAACTGCAGGATATAAGATTGTGGTATGATGCCTATTGCATATTTGGTGCAGATATGAAATAATACAACACTATTAACATTCAGTATACATGTACTATTCTTTCTGTCAAATCATACCTCATAGTTCGAATAATGATACTATAATAATTTTTATTTCCGGCACTGGTACAGCATACAAGAAAGAGAGACAATGTTAATGGCAAAGTTTGTTCTCCCTCGCTTTAAAGCACAAAATAAATATACGAGTTTACCAGTAATAATTTTTTAACCATATGTAAGAAAATATCTGTACAGAAATTTGCAATTTTTCAAATATTTGAGCTCCAGCCACCCCCCCCCCTCCCTTTTTTTTTTTTTTACCCTGCCAAGCTTCAAGCAACTGTATAGTTAGGGCTGTAAATTAATGTATAATATATGCATTGGCCAGGGAGGTATAACATCCTTTAGGAGTGAAGAGCCAAATGTGAGAGTAGCAGAGATACAAAAGGCAGTGGGTGAAATGTAAGAGGGTAAAGCAGTTGGGATTGATGGGATCAAGATAGTAATGTTAAAAGCAGGTGAGGATATAGTTTTGGAGTGATTGGTACTTTTGTTCATTAAATGTATGAAAGAAGGAAGGGTACCTAGGGACTGGCAGAAAGCATTTGTAGTTCCTTTGTATAAAGAAAGGGGAAAAAAAGTGTAAAAATTGTATGGAAATGAACCTGTTGAACATACCTGGTAGATTAATTATTTAGTGAAGGAAGTAAGGGGTAAGATGGAGAGCAGGATCATAGATGAACAAGGCTTTAGGAAGGGTAGGGCATGTAAGTGAACACTATTTCAATAAAGGAAAGGAAGATTTCATTGCTTTCATGGATTTAGAAAATGCATATGATAGGACAGATAAGGCAGCAGTGTGGCAGATACTGCAAGTGTATAGAATAGGTGGTAGGCTACTGAATGCTGTTAAAAGTTTTTACGAGGCTTAGATTAGGGTATGTAGGAGAGGGACATTATTGCCCGGTAAAAGTAGGCCTTAGATGGGGATGTGTGACGTCACCATGGTTGTTTAACATATTTATAGATGGGATTATAAAATGTAAATACTAGGGTGTTGGGAAGAGGTGTGGAATTAAAATATGCAAAATTTAATACAAAATGGGAGTTCTCACAATTGCTTTCTATTAAATACACTGAGCTTTTGGGAGATTCTGAAGAGAAGTTGCAGAGGTTGGTGGATGAATTTGGGAGGGTATGTAAAGGAAGGAAATTAAAAGTGAACATAGGAAAGAACAAGGTGATAGGGTAACAAATGCTATAGGTAATGAGTGGATATCAGATTGGAAGGAGGGAGTAAGAAGGAAGTGAATGTGTTCAGATGAAGGTGATGGTTGATTGAGGCATATGTAGAGACAAAGAACATTACCCATGAAGGCAAAGAGATTAGGTGTGGAGCTACTTAAAGTATTATCCAGAGGGCTGAAGAGGGGTTGTTGAAGTGGTTTGGACATTTAAAGAGGTTGGAGCATAACAGGATGACTTGGAGGGTGTGTAAATCTCAAGTGGAGGGAAGACAGGGTAGGGGGTTGTCCTACTAAAGGTTGGGGGGAGGGAGTAAAGGTATTGTGTGCAAGGGGCTCAGCCAACCAGCCAGCAGGCATGTTTGTGCATGTTAGATAGGAGTGGAGGCAAATAATTTTTGGGACTTGACGAGCTGTTGGAGTGTGCAAGGGAACATTTTGTGAAGGGATTCAGGGAAGCCGGTTAGCTGGACTCGAGTCCTGGAGGTCGGAAGTACAGTGCTTGCACTCTGAAGGAGTGGGGATAATTGCAGTATGGAGGGGCATCTGAACTAAAGTGTCTGCAGATCTCTAGCAAAACAGTGATGGAGTGAATGATGGTGAAAGTGATTCTTTTTCAGGTCACCCTACCTCGGTGGAAGATGGCCAGTGTGTTAAAAAAAAAGAATACATATGTATTCATGCATTTTTAAGCCAAACTTGTGACTTGCCTTTTAAAGCAATTAGCAGTTTATTAAACAAGTCAAGGGTATATGTACGTACTTATTTTTGCTATAACTCTGCACGCCAGTCAGAATATCTCAAACTTTACATACAGTATACTTGTATTTCATTTTTTTTTTTAATACCAATCTTTACACTGACCTTAAGTTGGGCAGGATTAAACTTTTATATTACAGTATGCAAATTTTAGCAATTGTTAGTCCATTCAAGATGGGTTCCTAAATACTGGTTTCTTTATCCAAGAAACTGAAACCATCCTTCCCTTACTTGGATCAAATCAGATTGCTTCCCATTCCCCAGGCACTGTATGACCTATGACCCTTAAGGGTTTAGAGTTTCCCCTATGAATATAACAATTAGGAAGGTAAGGGTGCTCAATTTAACAAAGAATAACAATAATGCATAGTATGTCAATTTATGTTCATGTGAATAAATATAAGAATGGACAGGGACTTGAACTGCAGGCCATGAACATAGACCCAGTGCTGTAACTACTGATCTATCCATTCATCTCAATTCATTAACACTTGTCCATTACAAATTATTTTATGTGAATATATTTAGGTAGGAGGGGTAGGGGGTCATCCCAGGAATGGTTGAAGGGAAGGAGGCCTTGAGTTTTAATGGCTTGAGCATCCAACATGCTTGTGTGAGCATGTTAAAGACTGAATGAAGACAAGTGGTTTTTAATGGATATTATGGGGAAGAGTTAGAGGTCATGTCCCCCTGGATCCCACCCTGTTAGCAATGTGGGAATGAGGGGGTCATAACCCCCTGTCCTCTGTTGGAGGTAATTTCTCCACAGATATACTGTTGAAGAGAGAGAGAGAGAGAGAGCAAGGTAAGATTTATGAAGGGATTTGGGGAAGCCAGTTACCCATCTCCAGGACTTGAGTCCTGGAGGAGAGTAATCTAAACTGTGATGTCAGGACACTTCCGGTAAGACGAGATTAAATGATGGTAAAAGCGTTTCCTTTTTTTTTTTCGGGGGTCGCCCTACCTTCGCAGGAGATGGCTATTTAGGTAAAAAAAAAAAAAATTGTAGCATTCCATAAAATATTACAAATGACAAAAATGTAAAAAAAAAAAAAAAAAAAATGGATGGTTTAAATACTCCAGCTATGAAACAACTGTGTAGGTGTGTGTGTATTTTCATTAAACTGGATTTTCTTGAAAAAATTATCATGAATAAATGTGTGTCAATTTTTTTTTAATTTGCAGTAAAAAATAAATTGGCAGCCTAACCTTGCTAAAATTTACATAATCTAGTTTAAACCGACTCACCCTAAATACATTCAGTAGTATTATGGTATTCAACATCAACAAAATGCAGTCTATTGATTTTGTGATACGCAAATTGATTTTCATGACTATTATACAAATGAACAAATGATGAGACTGGGTTGGTAAAATAATAGCTACCGAATAATCCAAGTTGGCGTTTTCAGCTAAAAAGCACTACATTGTGTGTGTATACAGTATATTATATATACAATAATAAATAAATACAGTGGAACCTCGGCTTATGAATTTAATCCGTTCCATGGCCTCGTTTGTATCCCGATTTGTTCGTATGCTGAGTAAATTTTCCTCATTTAAATTAACTGAAATGGCATTAATCCATTCCATAAGAGGCACGACAAAATACATCATTATGATGCTAATATCAACTCTATGGCTTATTTATACAAGAACATAAGAATGGAGGAACACTGCAGAAGGCCTAGTGGCCCATGCAAGGCAGGTCCTTATCAAAACAACCTCTACCCAATGACACCAATCAAACCCAGCCCCTCCCCCCCCATATATTTGTCCAATCTCTTTTTAAAGCTACTCAAGGTCCTAGCCTCGATCACCCTACTGGGAAGATTGTTCCACGCATCCACAACTGTGTTAGAAAACCAGTAGTACTTACCTATGTCTTTTCTAAATCTAAATTTTTCCAACTTAAATTTATTATTTCTGGTTCTTACCTGGTTCAACACCCTCAGTACTTCACCAATATCTCCTTTGTTCATGCCCGTCATCCACTTATACACTTCAATGATATCTCCCCTCATTCTACGTCTCTCCAGAGAGTGGAGATTTAAGGCTTTAAGTCTATCTTCATACGGGAGATTCCTTACACAGTAAATCGTTTTAGTTATTCTTCTCTGTATGTTCTCCAATGAATCTATATCCATCCTGTAGTAAGGAGACCAAAACTGAGCGGCATAATCTAAATGAGGCCTCGCTAATGAGGTATAGAGCTGTAAAATAACTTTTGGACTTCTGTTACTTATACTTCTAGAGATAAATCCTAGTAATCTGTTAGCCTTGTTGTGCACACTAAGGCTCTGCTGTCTTCGCTTTAGATTTCTGCTTACCATGACTCCCAAGTCTTTTTCACATTCTGTATGATCAAGCTCTACTTCACCTAGATTATAGCTTCGAGGGTTATTTTCATTACCAAGGACTAGTACCTTACACTTATCCACAATGAACTTCATCTGCCATTTTTCAGACCAAGACATTAATTTGTCCAAATCCTCCTGGAGTTCATTGCTATCCTCCTCAGACTGAATTATATGGCCTATCTTTGTATCATCAGCAAATTTATTCATGTCACTTGTAATCCCTTCATCAAGGTCATTAATGTAAACTATGAACAAGAGAGGGCCTAAAACTGATCCTTGTGGAACACCACTGGTGACTAATCCCCATTCAGATTTCACCCCATTAACCCCTTGACTGTCGCAACCCCCAATCCTGAGGTGTCTCCTGGTGTCGCAAAATTTAAAACAAAAAAAAATTATTTTTTCTTATGAAATGATAGAGAATCTTTTTCCGATTGTAATGATACCAAAAAAAAACGAAATTTGATGGAAAACTGAGGGAATTACACTCTCGTGAAGTTAGCGACCTCGGTGATATTTACAAACCAGCGATTTCGCCCACTTTGAGCCCTATTTTCGGCTAATTCCATTGTTCCAGTTGACCAAACTCATAGCTATTTCTTTAGAACTCCATTTTTTCTATCGATTGAGTACAAGAAACTGCCCATTTACCGATTTCAACTACCCAATAACGTGGTCAGAAATTTGCAATTTGGCCAATTTCATGAAAATTAAAAAATATGACAATTTCAAAATAAGGTCCAGAATGAACAATGCAGACATTCCTGGCTCTAAAACAACATTTTCTTTGTTCATCTGTCATGTCTCCAGACCCCTCTGATATTGCTCTTGCTTTCTATTTTGAATTT